ACTCCCCACCAATCAGCGTCGAGGCCGGGTTTCATTGGACAGTCTCGATATAGACGTGAATTCGGCAGGCGAGGTGAAGTCATTGGAGAGAATTGCGTCTAGCGAGATCGTCGGATACAAATGAGCGGGCAACAGGAACAGCCGAAAACGACACCAGCAGAAGGCGCTACACTTAAAACACCACCTCCTATTGCGCAGTCAACTGAAGAGTGCCCTAAAGCGCCTCGCAAGAAGAAGAACTCCGAAGTGATCCAAGCGTCTTCTAGTGTCTCGAAAGCTATTGCAAAGCAAATAACATTTGAGAAGGAGTCAGAACATGACCGTAAGTTGCAACTAAGTAGCCAACTTGCATTTTTCGTATGAATCATTATGAAGTAGCACGTTGACACCATCTTTCCATGCATTTGCATTTCAGGCACACCAATCAAACAGACTGGGCGACAATGAATTTGCAGGCAGCATCATCAGCAGCAGCAGCGGCGCGATGCTCCAACAAGTGTGTCTCTGGTGGCCCTCGTGCAAGCCTTGCTCAGCTGCTAATGTGTGCTCCCAATCTCGACAATCAGCCTCGAATGCAAGAATGGCAGAATTCGGATGCGATTTGTTCTTTGCAATTCATCGCCTCCACTGCCATTTACGTGCTTTGTAAAAGTGCGTTTTTTTGACTTTGAGTGCGCCTGAATATGCCTCCTTACCAATTTCAAATATGATATTCTAAAAAAATTGAAGCAAACGGCTTACTTGAGTTGTTTGGGGTGGGATTTGGTTGCAGAGTGCTAGGGACTGCCATTTTTCATACTCTGCGGACGGGTGGTGCTCGAGTGTTCACTAGATGACTCCGCATGTTGCTGTTTCGATGCAGACTCATAAAAGTCTGCATGGACAGCCAGTTTAGATCCAGGATTTGGGGTCTTATTATAAAGCAATCAAAGCTCTAGAGTTCTATACGTGATATACTTAAAGTAAAGCTGCAACCTGTGAAAGTGGTGGGCGTGTTAGTTTGCTGAGTTGCAGTTATCTCACCGACTCTGCAACCGACCGTGTCTCTGAATCTTCTATAAGCCTGATGCTACACTTTTTCAGTTATGGTTTTTCAGTTGGTGCCCATTTTTGTTGTCTCGTTGAAGTTTAGGCCGGCCAGAGAAAATGACTCAAGCTATTGCTTTATTGGGTGTGCTGTATGAATCCAAAATGTTCAAAACAAACGAGTACGTATTTGTAAATATCCTAACGGGTGTTTTCCAGTCAGATGAATGTTTCGTAAGCCCATGTTGCATCTATGCAGATTGTCAAAAGACCATTTGCATGTTGGTCTTCATGTTGGATTTTTAGCCGTGTAGTTCACAATCTGGTTAGTGCAGCGGGCGTGGCACTGCCTGAAGTGATTTAAATCGTTTTAGATAACAATGATAACGTTAACCTATGTTATCATGTCGCCAGGGCAACAAGTACGGGAATTATTATTCTCTATTGACCCTAACTGCGAAATATCCACCACACACATAGCAATATTTTGAACTTCTTAAGATATCAGTCTGTTTAAAATGAAAATCTGCCTTAATGTTTGACTTGTTTCATGCTCGTTGAGGACATTGGAAAACGCATTTGTGCTAAAATAGATGAAAGAGGAGTTCACTGAGTGAACTGTGGTTAACGTTGTTGAGGTCCATTCTCTAATCTAATTCGTCTGTACAAGAGATGCTTGCACGATCCTCTCTAGCAAATCAGGCGTCTGCACACTGCCCGACCACCATGTTTATGCGTTTACCGTCTAAGAGCAAGAAACCACAATGCGATTGAATAAAGGGTAACGGCAGCCTTGGCCGGGATATTTCGTTTGCATGTGTGTGCTTAGTTTTCCAGTCGGAAAAGGCGACTAACTGCCAGCGAACGCGTCTGTCATTGAAGCTAATTGTGCTTATAAAATTAAAGACATTAGTAACGAATAAGGCTGAGCTTCAACACAATTAAATGCAAAAAACAACTCTTTTCCTGTGACTACTGAAATCGACGGATCGTGGAACGTGATTGGGTGTGAAAATGATGGGTCTTGATCCTCGTTACCGTAGCGTGTGAATTCGACGCTGTGTTGCTACGACGGCGTAAGTTGCCATGCCCTTGTTAACGCCTGCCGACGAGGTATTAACGCTTTTTTTGGATATTGTGCCCCTTAATTCTCACGATGACTAATGACCCCGCGTGAGTTCAAGGTCATTGCTGGGAGATTAAGAGTAACACTTACAATGTTATATTCGGTTCAAAGAATTTAAATCGTTAATCGCTGATTTTTGAGACCAAACAGGATGCAACCAACAACGGCTTACACAAGAGCAAGAAGACTCGTCTCGGAAATCCATACAGGCAGACGGGAAACTTTGACAAATTCATTGTCTTAAACCATCCAATGAGTTGTACGAGAGTAGTCTAAGTGAACAGTGATTGATAATTGGAAAATGTATGCAAATAATATGGATTCCCCACCATTCTCGACGCCACACAAAATAGCTTAAGGCGAGTGCTACGGTTGTGCAGTGAGCAAGTCACCATCCAGCAATGCTTTGTAAAAATCACATCTAGAACTCATCAATGGCTTCCATGGTTATTGCAACACACTCCGGCCAAGTGAGGCATCGGCAGAGTGTAAATGAGAAATCGGACCGGAATGCGAGGGAGAGTAAGAAGTGAAATTTGTAGCAAA